CGCGTCAGCAGCACGCATGCATAAATAAATAAATAAATTAAAAAATATGTGGTGCAATGTCAGCAAAGGCAAAAGTTAGCCGCTGACGTTTTGAGTGACAGTGCGGATAGCTACGGAAATAATAAACGAATATTTGGCAAAAGTATGATACATTTCGATCATTATCGATCTCCAAAAAGTATGATTGCGTTACATTCGTGCGTCCTACGGCCCGGGGGTTAACATAGAACCTGCACCGCAAGTGATACATAGGCTCAGGTATACTTCCGTTTTTAAGGCTCTGTCCATCTGACAGTTCTCAAATCCTCTTTTGTTGTAGCGAAGCTCACAAAATGACCATTTCATACCTACCATCTAGCAGTATACGTACCTTGTCGCAGTGAGTGAATTTTCAAGACAACTTGAATCTCAGCAGCTTGAATTAGGTTCTAACCTCTTTCGTCTACACATTTAGCATTTGCATCCCACCATTAGGTTGAACTACCGTCGACGATTCACTTGAAGAGGTTCATATTTGCTGCGGTGAGAGGGAAGGGATCATCTGGTCGTTTTGGGAGAATAGATAATGTAGGCATATCTGATGCCAGATGCTCCCTAACCGCCCATCCGATTCGTATGCTTTCCTTTTGATCCTCGTCTGATCGCTTAGAGCGTTCATAGATGGCGATTGTACGTGCGATTAGGCGATTAGGCGATAGGCGATGATTCAAAACGAAAAGTATACGTATCGATAGGCGAAGGCGAGTAGGCGAGTAGGCGAGTAGGCGAGTAGGCGATGAGAGAAGGATACGTATTGATTTGTTGCTCCGCCCATTGAGCGATCGCCTAATCGCCTAATCGCCTACTCGCCTACTCGCCTACTCGCCTACAACGCTCTATGGGCGGAGCAAACCAATCAATACGTATGTAGTCTTCCCCGCCTAATCGCCTAATCTATACGTACATTTTTCATTACAGACTAATCGCCTAATCGCCTAATCGCACGCACGATCGCCAACTCTGAACACTCCATTACACGATTGCGAACTATGAACGATGCCGATGCTGATACATGATATCAACATTTCAAATTAAATCAGCCTGCTGAATATCATTTTACATCGTCATTCCCCTAATAAACAGTCATGATCATTATGTTCTACGATGAGCGACGAGGAGGCCGATCCATCAAGCAAGAAATCGAGAAGCAAGGTGATATCGTAATTTTTCTTCCTCATTTTCTTCCATATAGAGAATTGGGCGCTATCGCAGTACATGTATACGAGAGCACTCTCTAGGGAAGCTTAGGAGTAAGCTGGAACTTTCGGGAGAATGAAAATGGCTGACACACTCTGAGTGTCTTCTCTCCTGCTCAAGGCTTAGCCCCGCTTTTAATAAAAAGGACTTGTCCTACAACCTATTACCATACCTACGTATCTTGCGAAAAGCCTCGAGAATGGGCAACTGTTTGAAGATGTCGTTCCAGGGCGATGAGGAGAGTGCCACAAAGGACACAACCTCAGGCCTGCTATTCGACGACGAAACTATACGAGCCACATTTGTTCGAAAGGTGTTCATAATTGTTGCAGTGATGGTACGTGCTGGCCGTTATACACCAAAATTTATGAGAAGGGTTTTTTTTGTAATTTTCAGCTCCTTGTCAACATCGTCATGTGTGCTCCGGTGTTTGTATGTGAACCGTTCAAATCGTTCATAGCTGAACATATTTGGATCAATATACTTGCTTTGTACGTTCTTCCCCACTACAGTGAGCCTCAGACCACCCTGCCTTTTAAACAGCCTTCAAATCTATAAGAGAGAAAATCCGGCAGAGGGCTATCGAAAATATAGGTGCGGCATGCCTTTAGCACTGGCTAGAGGTGCAGAGCTCACAGGAAAATGAAAAATTAACTTAAATCACTCGTAAAAGTCTCCTCTCTTGGACTGGGCCTTAATTCAGATCTCAACACAAAAGGAGATGTTTCAAGCGGTTCCTAATGTATCGTCATAACAATGCCCCCGTTTCCTGCGATAGCAAACACCGGACTAAAAACACGCATGAGTAAAAATGAAATCCCAATGACCATGATCATTAGTTGTGCCATATTTGAGGGACGTTGCAATAAACGATCGGACTTGTGATTCTAACCATAAGTGTCGAATTGCTTTGCGGCACTGAGATGACGAAAGACCCCAATACCTGATGTTTGCAGATGATATCACAGTTATAGGTAACGATCTGAGTGCGCTCGAGAAAGTGGGCGGTGTTAGCTACTAAACTTATAACTCGGTTCCAAGAAGTCCTGGAGACCGGAAAAAAGGGGTAGAGGTCGGCGAAGGAAAGGAGGTCAACTGCTATTGGTGGGCGGGCATGCACAAAAGTGGGCGGAGTTTGCCACAAACTTCATAATTCGGTTCCAAGAAGTCCTAAAGACCGGGAAGAAACTGGTAGAGTCCGACAACGGAAAGGAGTACAGCCGCTATTGGCGGGGGAGGACGCACGTAAGTAGGCGCAGTTATCCACGGAAATTATAACTCGATTTAAAGAAGTCTGGAGACCGGGAATAAAGTGGAAAGGCTCTGAAAACGTAAGGGTACTTATATGCGAATGGTGTGGGAAGCTTGCCAGAAAGCATTACAAAAATGTCAGTGGTCCTGTTTTATACCGTTGCAGTCCCGTGTGATGCACGCGAATGCGCGCGCAGCCAAACTGGTATTCAATAAGTATCGTAATGTTCTCCTTGATAAGCGGCTTGAAGCTCAAATGAGCCGCTCTATTCAACACTTATGTCCTACCGGCTTTGGTGTATGGAAGCGAAACATGGAGCACAATCAAAGACGAAGAAAGAAACTGGCCTCTAACCCAAAGAGCAATGGAACGACCGATGTGCGCTTTCCTGCTCGTGAAATTCGAAGGCGAACCGGTGTCAAAGATGTGATCGAGACTATCTACGATTCGGAGAAACGAGGGGCAGGACATGTGGCTCATCTTTGCGATAACCGTTGGACTTCCCCAGTACTGATTGGTATCCCCGCGGAGTAGAGGCCGGTTTCAGGCCATTGATTTATGGTTGAAATGAATTTCTGCAAAGGAAATAAACAAAACCTCATCGTACACCATGGAGACCCAGAAATGGTAACTTTACAGCAACGTCTGCCTAGCAAAATTATTTACCAATGGGTCCTTGACCTCATAGTTCAAATAACTATGTGCACTCAACCATTTTCAGATTGATATTCATGGCTACATATATGGTGCTAGTTTGCTTTCATTCAGTTTCTCGCACTTTTCCTTTAAATATCACCTTGCTAGTGATTTTCGTGAGTTACACCTTTCGTTGATGTGTCTCGTAAAAGTTAAGTCCACAATAATAGTATTTGTGTGGTGAGTTCACGTATAAAAAGTTGGTACTGTAGGCTCGGCCAGTGAGAAACTAAGAAAAAACACTCAACATAAGCATTAAAGTTGTTGAATTGTTTTTGTTTGTCAACATCACTGCTCGCGTTGCAAATGTTTCACTAGAATGCTGGGTTATGAGCAACTATTA